CCATTGCTGCCTAGAATTATCTTTGCTAATCTAGTCTCTTCTGGTACCAAATGAATTTTAGAAATGTTTTTTCTAGATCTGTGAGGTGTTCTAATGGTATTTTGATTAAGATTGAATTAAATTGGTACAACAGTTTTAGGATTATGGCCATTTTCACAATGTTGTTTCTTCCTATCCATGAGTAAGGATATCTGATATTCTGTTCAGAGTACTGCAATTTTTGATGTCTAGATCTTTTACTACCTTTGTTAAATGGATTCATAAGTATTTCATTTTTTTAAAATGCTATTTGATGTATATTTATTTTAGTTATGGCAATTTGAAGTTCTATATGCTTCATTTACTTGTTTGTTATTCTTTATTCATGCTTGTAAAATTTTCGGTCATTATTTTATGAGGAAATTATTTTAGGGCATTTGCACTGTCCCCAGGTTTGTTGTTTATGCCAATCAATCTTGTTATTTTTCTTTGATACATCTTTTAGCTGTTGGATTGATTTTTTGATGGTCTTTTGCTATTTTGCTGATATTTTTCTTTTCATGATCACTAGTTCCAATTCTGTTTTCAAGATCTGATGACCCCTTCATGTATGTGGTTCTTTTCAGCTATCCCAAGAACATATCTTTGTAATTTGCAAAGGATACAAAGCTATTGTTTTTGTTTATTTATTTTTTTGCATAACCAGGGATTGAACTCAGGCCCTTGCACTTGCCAGGGAAGCGCTTATTCTACTGAGCCATCTCCCTGGCCCCAAAGCTATTGTTTTGCCTAGCACCCAAACCTTTGGTATTAGGTTGTGGTGGTGCTTATGAGCCCATACAACCACAGTGTTATCATACGGGAAAAAACTGATTATAACACGTATGACATCCTGACTAAAGTAGTACAGTTAGTAATGGCAATAGCTTAAAGTATAGCTTAACTCCTAATGAACTGTGGTAACTATCAACCTGCTACCTGCAACCACAGGAGGAGCTGCTAAAGTTATATAGCCACATCAAACCTACACCATGTACTTGTGTGCAGTTATTTTTCCCCTTCATGGAGTGATTTTCTCCTTTTGCTGGGGGTGGTAGAGGGTTCGGATGGGGAGGAGGCAGGATAAAGCAACGAGTGAGGTCAAATATGGTAAGAATCTAGGTTGGAGGTCAAAGGATGATCACCCAAATTTTGAGAAACTTGGAGAACACAGGAGGGACAAAATGAAATAGAATGTGAAGGCATGATAAGGGAAGAGACAATGCTTACTCACTTAAAAGTTTAAGTTAAAAAAGTAGTTGCAAAAGAGAGAAAGCAGGGGGCCGGGGAGATGGCTCAGTAGGATGAGTGCTTGACTGGCAAACACAAGGATCTGAGTTCAATCCCCGGTTCCGCAAAAAAAAAAAAAAAAAAGAGAAAGCAGATCAACGATAGCAAATGACAAAGGCAGGTAACAAACCTAAACAGTGGGGGAAGAAAACAACACAAGGAAGTAAGAGAAGGAGAATGGAAGAGAAAGAAAGAAAAGAGAAAGGTAGACTGAGGAAAAATAGAAAAAAAAAAAAATCCAAAACCAAAAATAACCATACAATACAAGACAAAACAAGACAACTTCCAAGAAAGGTTTAGCCAGTCATACAAACATGGGAGAATAAAAGTAGTGAAGTACCTCTGGTGTT